CGAGGGGACCTAATTCTTACTTACGCCCTGTTTGAACAAAGCTTGGCAAACAGGTTTTTTACCGTTGACCCAGCAAACACCCGGCGGGGACATAGTAAGAAAAGTTTCAAGCTCAGGGCATAAAAATTCATTAGACAAAACCTTTTTCATTTCTGGTAGTAGCTGCGTGGAATGACCTTCCCCCGACGGTTGTACACGCTCCTTCTCGAACCCAATTTAAAGCACTGTTAGACATTTATTTATGCGAATCCTCGCGCTGGCAAGCATACTGCCCCGCGCTGAGAACATAAAGAGCAGTGCTACACCCTTTTTTCACTTGTGCCTTTCAGGTGAACGACAGCCACTGACCGACAAGAACAAAACCGACCCGGGAAACTTGGGCAAAAGCCTCGATCCTCTGTATCAATCCGTGAATCCGTGAATGGTCCGTCTCCGGACTGTGCCATTGAAACGGTACTAGAGGATTGACCATTTCACGCCACGCTACCAAGGTTTCGGCCCGTCGTCCCCGATACACAATTACCAAACCTCCATGTCAGTAAGAATCCCGTGCATATTGCCAAAGTCAACTGCGCGGAAATAGGTTTCATTAAATTTGTTTTAACCCATCAAAGCACCCCAGACGACCTCGGGGCTCGCGACTTGGATATATCTGCGGGCCTGCTTTTGGCTTTGCACGCATTCTCGATCTTTGGTCATTTGCCAATCTATGACGCTGGTAACCGGCTTGTTCCCGTGGTTGTTGTTCAGGTTTAGGACTGTGTAAAACTGATGGATATTGCACCTACATTACGCACCAGCAAGCCCGAGACTACCAAATGCTTTACAACTGTGTACGCAACACCTGATAATGACGGATCATCAGTCCCTCACAAAGTGAAAACGACGACGTCTGATGCATCCACAACGACAAAGGTAGCTTGAGTTTTTCGTCAGCCTAACGCATATCGTAGGAATCCTTCGGGAAGTCAGTTTGTTGTGCAACGATGCAGCTGTGGTGGCACTCGAAATTCGCATTATGCGAAAAGTTAATACACACTCACCACTGGAAAGTACTTGGCAGTTTCTTGTTCCTTGGATTGTTTTGCCTTGGACTCAAGTTGGTTACAGTGGACACGAACTTCGACCAGCTATGGGTTGAGGGTGAGTTCTTAATTTTCAATGCCCTGAGTGAATTTCGGTAATTTTTAATTATAATATCATCATGGTCATCGTCAGCGGCAGAAACACCAGTGTTGATGATGATGCTTAGAGGTTTATTTAATTACATATTGATGCTACTGCTATTTCCAAATAGGTGGCAAATCGCCGTACTCGGCCGGTAAAACCAGTCATCTCCAAACGTATGCTATCGGATCAGTAAAAGAACAGACTCCTAGGTATTATCCCGAAGTGGAATTGGGCCTTAATATGCTAATATCCACCCCCGTCTACAATATCGATTTTGTACTGTGAGGTTTTCATAGTATCAAATGTGCCTCATACCGTCCCTAGCGGTTCACGGCAGTGACCAGGCTGGAAGTAAATATCGCAAAAACGAGGACAGCTTCAAACGGTACAGCAGACGTGAGCACCACTCGTGCATGAGACTGCTGTCAGAACTCGAAACAGCCCTTCAACCGAGGCAGTTATTCTGAGTAAACAGGACGTCCTTAATTCTAATCAAGGATAAAGACCGGTATTACATTAAAGGCGTTCCCGGAATATACTATATGCTTGATTTATATAGGGAACACTTAGTGCCACAGAACTGACATCAGTCTTTCAACTATGGTTCGGGGTCATCAAGTGGCTGTTTTTCCTGTCCTAGTACACCAATCTGACACCTAGCGCGCACGGGTCAAGGATTTGAACGCCTTGAACTTCCTTACGATTGATGCTTGACGAGGCGGGGGTCGATCGCCACTTGGTGTTCCTTCTGGTGATCCTGCCAGCGTGGATTCCTACCGTGCACTTGTACAACGCCGCTTTTCACTGCGTTTTTCACTACGTAAAACGCATACATCTCGCTTAGTCTTTGGGAAGCTAGTGGACTTAGAAATCAAACGAAACTATCGAACGGCTGCCGGACGGTCCGATGTCGGATATAAACAACCACTGTGATCAGGTATCCAAAGCGCTACCCAGAACCGTTTGCAGTACAACCCACCTAACCTCATCCGAACATTGGATCACCGATAGGACCATGTCTTGAGGCTCGGCGACAGATTCCGCATGATCGCAACCCCGATTCTACCCGACGCAAGTGAAACTGAGTGCCCGTGCAGACCGAGAGTTGGCTCAGTGGTTAGAGCGCGAACCGGAAGATCTGTGGTTCGAACCCGGCTTTTGCCTCTCGACATCTCCTGTCTAAGCTTGGGCAATCTGGCAGTATCCTAGCCCTCGTGCTTCTTTCGGGTGACATGGCAGTTAGGCACCGAAGGGGTGCCACAGCTGAACGCCAACCGAGATGCTTGTTGGTCCCCAAAAAGACGAAGAAACGGAAGATGTGAAAAATGATGGAAATGTCCGCACGCTGTTGCAATTGGTTCGCCCAACTGGTCCCCGTTGCCTCTTGCGGACGAAGTGATCAGGGACCAAAATGGCTTCCTGATATCTAGCAAAGAATGACGTTTGGAACGCTGGGCATAGTACTTCGAACAGTAATTCAGCTGTCCACCTGCTACCTCCAATCCGGAATCCTGGGCTTCAACTGAAAGGTGGACTGTGAATAGCAAGTGAAAGTGCCCGTGCAGACCGAGAGTTGGCTCAGTGGTTAGAGCGCGAACCGGAAGATCTGTGGTTCGAACCCGGCTTTTGCCTCTCGACATCTCCTGTCTAAGCTTGGGCAATCTGGCAGTATCCTAGCCCTCGTGCTTCTTTCGGGTGACATGGCAGTTAGGCACCGAAGGGGTGCCACAGCTGAACGCCAACCGAGATGCTTGTTGGTCCCCAAAAAGACGAAGAAACGGAAGATGTGAAAAATGATGGAAATGTCCGCACGCTGTTGCAATTGGTTCGCCCAACTGGTCCCCGTTGCCTCTTGCGGACGAAGTGATCAGGGACCAAAATGGCTTCCTGATATCTAGCAAAGAATGACGTTTGGAACGCTGGGCATAGTACTTCGAACAGTAATTCAGCTGTCCACCTGCTACCTCCAATCCGGAATCCTGGGCTTCAACTGAAAGGTGGACTGTGAATATGTAGTCGCCTTTAACCCCAGAAGTGTCCGAGTGTACATCTCCACCCAAGGGTCACCGTGCTGCCGGTCCTAATGACCTCCCGCCTGCTGTATCCATGGCTGGCAGTGGGTTTCTCAGCTAGTGTCCGTCTAGCCCATTTTGGTCTATCTGGGAGAAAGTGACCGTCCCAGAAAACTGGGGTGAATCATCAATAGTTTCCATTTTCAAAAAGGGTACCCACAGTGAATGTAATAACCACAGGCGTCTGACGAGGTTTCCGGTGTCATTGATCCTTCGTCGTCTTACGGTGGTACGCTAGACCTTGATTCTTGAGAATCAAGCGGGATTTTGACAGGGTAGGTGCTGAGTTGACCACATTTCTACACTCCGTGAGGTGTTTGAGCAACGCCACATGTATAGACATCCTTGATTTTAAGGGTACGTTCGATTGTCTTGGTCGATCAATGCTGTTAACTACGTTTGCTCAACAGGGTGTGTTCCGGATGTTTTTAAACGTAATCCGCTCCATATATTCACATTCTTCTGGGCGTGTGAGAGTGTATAGTGAGCCCTCCAAAAGCTTCCCTACAAAAAGTAGTGTAGTAGTGGGATGTTTACTCGCCATTCTTGTCCATATTGGTCATTGGTGAAGTAATGAGATGAACGCTGGAAGGTCTTCAAAATTCCAGTGTTCCAATTGTTGCTGTCGATAACCATGTTGATCTGGAGTATGCAGGCGACATTGCCCTCATCTTTGAAGACCAGGTGAAACACAAGCCGTGTTGAATAGATTGACCACCGTCATACCATCATTCGTCATGTGCCTAGCACCTTAAAAGATCGTTCAGCTGTAGCATCTTTCGGTACCTAGCTGCAATGCCACTAGAAGGAAGTACTAGGGCTGGGATACTGCCAGGTTGCCCAAGCCTAGACAGGGGAAGCCGAGAGGCAGAGGTCGAGTTCAAACCACGAACCTTCCTATCAGTAACGTCGCACTCTAATCACTGAGAAATCTTGCACCCGCGAAGTCATGCTTCAGCACATACAATCTCTGAACGTACCCATTACAATTCAAGGAGAATCACTGCTAGTTGTGGAGAGTTTTACATACCTCGGCAGTTGTATCAGCTATGATGGAAATGTCTGATGAAGTCAGTGCGAGAATCCAAAGGCCAGAATCACGTTTGCGTCACTGGCTTATCACCGGGTCTTAAGGATCGTGTGACACGTTTGCGTCACTGGCGTCAAAGAGGCTTATCACCGGGTCTTAAGGATCGTGTGTACCAGACTACGGCAACGGTATTGTTGCATGGCTTCGAGACGTAACTTCTGCGGACAGATGATGTGAGGCGTCCTCAGGTTTTTGACCACCGATGCCTCTAAAGCGTTGCTAGTTTTGGATGGCGTCAAGGGATTAGTAACGAGTTGGTTAGAAAACGAGTATTTGGTTGTGAAGCAGGTGCTTTAATCGCGGACAACATCCAGGTCCATCGAATACGATGGCTCGGCCGTGTTCTATGCATGCCGAAACACCATCTACCGAGACGAGTGTTGTTTTTCGTTCCTACTTCAGAATGGTGCAAACTGCGAAGTGGAAAATGTATGATGCAATGGTGTGAAAGAGATCGCGAAGAGTTTGGGTGTCGTTGGTGTCGTACGCCTTCCAGGATGGAGTCCCGTGACCCCTCCTGTGCTTGGCTGGAGGCATTGCAAGAAATGTCAGTTGACTCATGTCATTGGTGTTCGTGCTGTCGGTTTCCAGTTTGTCCGGTTGGATGCTTGGAGGGTTAGCACCTCAAGATGCCTACCATAAACCAGCACTAGGTCCCCTCCCTCACCCACTCTTTTTCTTTTCCTTTTACTCTAAGGCTCTAAATAAAATTAGATGAACTTTATGGTTGTACGGCAGTGAAGCATCACTGTCAACACTGATGTTGCTGTCTCTGATGGTGGTGATGATAGTTGACAATAATCGTCAGAAATAGTGTCGCGGTCGGCTGTTAAGCTTTGACGTCCATTAGCGCTCCTTCCGACCATTACTTATTCTTAGCGGTGGTTTATCACATACCAGGAGAATAAAACGTTAACGGAAGTTTTCCCCAGTGCCCTGCACAGGTTGGCGCTGTCATTCTGGAGGCCAGCCGAACATATTGCTCACTTACGTTGCATCTGACGGACTATGGCTCCGAGCAGTCCATTTGTCGCTTAAACCAACATTAATTCGAGCTATCCGTGGGTTTGGCCACCGGTCGCAGCACTGTAATTTGCGATATTCACGGAGCCGGCTTATCTTGGTATGATCAGCCACAATGAAGCACAATGAAGTATAATAGTCCCCCTGAACACCAATTTAATTTGCAGATGAGCATATAATCCCGTTTACTTACAGAGCAAATTCCTCACACTAGAACGATTTTCTGCGGTTCAGACTCATCCATTGAATCACATTTAGAGAGAAGGTTAGACTAAAACTCGAACACCCTCGATCACTAGACACCGCCAAAGTTTCTGATCAACATAATCAAGGACAGTTTTAATTTCAAGAAAAAACTACCAA